TCCCCCATCTGAAAACAGCTGGACCCTGCGTGGATCTGGGCTTGTATGCTGGGAGTAAAGCTATCTGCATCTTAGAATGTCCCCCTGTAAGGAACAAAAGTCCGGCAGCATCCAAATCCCCCCTCCTTCCCAATATACTGTGACAGAGCGTTTATGATGCCCTGCTGGTGATGACCAGATGCTTGAAGAGGACCAGGTCAGACGCTTTGCTGAAGAAGCCACGTAGACACGGACGCTGTGGCCCCAGGAGCTGGCGGCACGGCCTGGCAGCACCACAGAGTCCTGCCCGCCTGCCCCGTCACCAGTGCCCTTTCTCTTCTTGAGTCAAGCTTTCACTTACTGTCAGCTGGAGGGTCCACGCCACAGCTAAATCCCCAGCTAGATGGTGCTAACTCCAGATGCCGCGACCCCCAGTGCTGGACTCACCATGAAAATGTCCAGTTTCATTATTAGCAAAGGAAATCAATGGTCAGTGAAACCCAAACAAAGCTCAGGGCTCCATGTGGCACAGCCTCTGCCTCCTGGGTCCGATTCTGACACCTTCAGGGCTCCATGTGGCACAGCCTCTGCCTCCTGGGTCCGATTCTGACACCTTCAGGGCTCCATGTGGCACAGCCTCTGCCTCCTGGATCCGATTCTGACACCTTCAGGGCTCCATGTGGCACAGCCTCTGCCTACTGGGTCCGATTCTGACACCTTCAGGGCTCCATGTGGCACAGCCTCTGCCTCCTGGATCCGATTCTGACACCTTCAGGGCTCCATGTGGCACAGCCTCTGCCTCCTGGGTCCGATTCTGACACCTTCAGGGCTCCATGTGGCACAGCCTCTGCCTCCTGGGTCCGATTCTGACACCTTCAGGGCTCCATGTGGCACAGCCTCTGCCTCCTGGGTCCGATTCTGACACCTTCAGGGCTCCATGTGGCACAGCCTCTGCCTCCTGGATCCGATTCTGACACCTTCAGGGCTCCATGTGGCACAGCCTCTGCCTCCTGGATCCGATTCTGACACCTTCAGGGCTCCATGTGGCACAGCCTCTGCCTCCTGGGTCCGATTCTGACACCTTCAGGGCTCCATGTGGCACAGCCTCTGCCTCCTGGGTCCGATTCTGACACCTTCAGGGCTCCATGTGGCACAGCCTCTGCCTCCTGGATCCGATTCTGACACCTTCAGGGCTCCATGTGGCACAGCCTCTGCCTCCTGGGTCCGATTCTGACACCTTCAGGGCTCCATGTGGCACAGCCTCTGCCTCCTGGGTCCGATTCTGACACCTTCAGGGCTCCATGTGGCACAGCCTCTGCCTCCTGGGTCCGATTCTGACACCTTCAGGGCTCCATGTGGCACAGCCTCTGCCTCCTGGGTCCGATTCTGACACCTTCAGGGCTCCATGTGGCACAGCCTCTGCCTACTGGGTCCGATTCTGACACCTTCAGGGCTCCATGTGGCACAGCCTCTGCCTCCTGGGTCCGATTCTGACACCTTCAGGGCTCCATGTGGCACAGCCTCTGCCTCCTGGGTCCGATTCTGACACCTTCAGGGCTCCATGTGGCACAGCCTCTGCCTCCTGGATCCGATTCTGACACCTTCAGGGCTCCATGTGGCACAGCCTCTGCCTCCTGGGTCCGATTCTGACACCTTCAGGGCTCCATGTGGCACAGCCTCTGCCTCCTGGGTCCGATTCTGACACCTTCAGGGCTCCATGTGGCACAGCCTCTGCCTCCTGGGTCCGATTCTGACACCTTCAGGGCTCCATGTGGCACAGCCTCTGCCTCCTGGGTCCGATTCTGACACCTTCAGGGCTCCATGTGGCACAGCCTCTGCCTCCTGGGTCCGATTCTGACACCTTCAGGGCTCCATGTGGCACAGCCTCTGCCTCCTGGGTCCGATTCTGACACCTTCAGGGCTCCATGTGGCACAGCCTCTGCCTCCTGGGTCCGATTCTGACACCTTCAGGGCTCCATGTGGCACAGCCTCTGCCTCCTGGATCCGATTCTGACACCTTCAGGGCTCCATGTGGCACAGCCTCTGCCTCCTGGATCCGATTCTGACACCTTCAGGGCTCCATGTGGCACAGCCTCTGCCTCCTGGATCCGATTCTGACACCTTCAGGGCTCCATGTGGCACAGCCTCTGCCTCCTGGGTCCGATTCTGACACCTTCAGGGCTCCATGTGGCACAGCCTCTGCCTCCTGGGTCCGATTCTGACACCTTCAGGGCTCCATGTGGCACAGCCTCTGCCTCCTGGATCCGATTCTGACACCTTCAGGGCTCCATGTGGCACAGCCTCTGCCTCCTGGGTCCGATTCTGACACCTTCAGGGCTCCATGTGGCACAGCCTCTGCCTCCTGGGTCCGATTCTGACACCTTCAGGGCTCCATGTGGCACAGCCTCTGCCTCCTGGGTCCGAATCTGACACCTTCAGGGCTCCATGTGGCACAGCCTCTGCCTCCTGGGTCCGATTCTGACACCTTCAGGGCTCCATGTGGCACAGCCTCTGCCTACTGGGTCCGATTCTGACACCTTCAGGGCTCCATGTGGCACAGCCTCTGCCTCCTGGATCCGATTCTGACACCTTCAGGGCTCCATGTGGCACAGCCTCTGCCTCCTGGGTCCGATTCTGACACCTTCAGGGCTCCATGTGGCACAGTCTCTGCCTCCTGGATCCGATTCTGACACCTTCAGGGCTCCATGTGGCACAGCCTCTGCCTACTGGATCCGATTCTGACACCTTCAGGGCTCCATGTGGCACAGCCTCTGCCTACTGGATCCGATTCTGACACCTTCAGGGCTCCATGTGGCACAGCCTCTGCCTACTGGATCCGATTCTGACACCTTCAGATACAATGTATCTCTCAGGAGTATTTTTAAAGGGGCGAGGAGGAGGTGGGTGTGGCCCTTCCTGAAGAAACCCTCCTGAAAGCGCTCCTGACTGGTTTTCTTGCTCCCTGAAGGCCGTCCTGTCGCGTCAGCTCCTCCACTTCCCGTGCCTTTCCCGAGGGACTCGGCTGACACCCAACACGCACCAAGGGACTTTCGTTGCTGCAGCGACGAGGACCCGTCATCTCATGTTCATCACTCAACACTCTTCTTACAAGCCTCAGGCTGTTACTTGGTCTCCGCAGAGCAGAACTTGAGAGAGAACCAAAAACAAAATCCCTCCTTGGTCCTGGGTTATTCACTGGTGGAGTCTGTGCCTCTGCTAAGATGACCTTTCCAAACACCTGCTCTGCGCCAGAGCGTGGGCCCTGTGTCCAGCACACTAGCAGGCCCTTTGGAAACGGACAGGCATCATCACTGTCTTTTCACAATAAAGAAAGGTGAGGCGCCAGGGGAGTCATTAACTGCCCCAGACACCCAGCCAGTTAGTGGGGAAGCCGCGGTCCACCCAGGAGCCTTCAGGTGACTGTGCCACTCTCCAGCCAGCCATGGACCGAAACACGAAGAGAGATGACGTCCACGGAGGGCTCGTCCTGTTTTCATTACAGTTTCTGCCAATCTAAATAACTGACACTCCTGACTACTGAAGTGAAGGCAAAGAGGTGGGATGAAAAATGGGGTGCTTCGAATCAAAATAACCCCCGACTTGTGTACATGTAACCCTTGTTTCCAACTTTCAGGCAGGTGGCAGGTTTGAGGCTGGGAAGCTGGACTCTCTCTGGACTGGGTGTTTCTGGGGACAGTGATTCTGAGAAAAGGCTCAAGCAGAGGGGTTTTTAAAAAACAAGTGAATCAGTGAGTTCTTCTCACAGCATCTCATGAAAGGAGGGTCCCCAGAGAAGGGGATGGGCTGGAGGCTGAGTGTAACCCACACATCACATCGGCGGCCCCCTGTGTGGTTTCACCTCATAAACAGCTTGTTTGGGAGGGTAGAGTGGCTCTCCCAGGGGAGCCCGGGGTTGCCCCTGAGTGAGCGAGGCCAGGATGACCTCTCCTACCCTTCCAGGGTCTCAGGGAGCTTCTGTGAACAGAGCTGGGGGGTCTGAGGTGGCTCTTGGTTTGCAGCTGGGTGTGGCTGACACAGCCAGGCCGGCTCTGCCTGGGGTAGCATCATTCAGGAATTTAAGGCCAGTGTCTGCCCCTGGGCGGGAGCAGGCCATCCCCATGCCAGCCCATCTTTCCTGTGTGGCTAAAGGAAGAGCATTGGGACCTGCAGGAGCCAGGGGATCCCTTCAGCCTTGCAGTCCCGGGGCAGGGGCTATGCATTTGCATCTATTGGCCTGGTCTCACCCCAGCATCCCAATGTCACCAGCGTTGAGCTGGCCTGTTGTCTCGGTTTGAGTTTTCTTAAAAGTAGGTCCTGAGACAGGACTTATGTACAGACAGTTTATTTGGGGAATCAGGAGACTGAGATAGGGAGGAAAGAAAAGACACACTGTGTGAACAAGGGAGAGGGGCTCTCCTGAGGACCCGCCGGCCCCTTCCAAAGACTGTGTGGGAGCCACCTGGAATTTGATTCCCAGAAGGATTAGGAGTCTGGGATGCTTAGTGTTCTGGGCCAGAGAAAGGCCCAGGCACAGGTCCAGGAAGGGCTGATGTGGATGGATGGGCTCCAGTGGCCTCCTGCTCCGATGGTGTCTGCCACCCTGCCTTCGCCACCAGACTCTGAGTTCTAGGTCATTTCATCCACAGGACCCAGATGTGGGCTTGGTCCAGTTTTTTTTTTTTTAATGAATGAATAAGCTCTTCTCATAGCTTCTCATGTAAGGAGGGCCTAAAGAAGGGAAAGAGCTGAAGATTGGGCCAGGAAGTCCAGATATGGGGTCCCCTTTAGTTCCAGGAAGAGGGAAGCCCCAGGGTTGAGAGGGAACAGAGCAGCCTGAGGGTGGCCAGGGAAGTGAGGGGTGGGGGCGTAGGGACCTGAGCCTCCTTGGCAACGACCAGGACAAAGTGGCCTTCTTGAGTGGTAGGGAACAGCATGGTGTGACCTTGCTCCAGCCCAGGCTGGAGACCACCCCCTCAGCTCCTGGTGAGTGTGATGGGGGGAGGTGTCCTCTGTGATGTAAGAATGGCCAGGGCTGAAGCAGCACCCTGGAACTGCTCCCTGTCCCCAGGTTCTGTGTATCACTGTGGTGCCACGCCTGGCTGTGTGGCAGGATGGGAGGATAGTGGCTGGGCCTATATCAGGGCCACGGGAGCCCACTGGCTGTTTGTAACTGCACAGAAAGTATAGAGGTAAGTCTTTTATGTGTTTGGGGGATGGTAACAGCGGGGAGGCCGGGGGCAGGAGAATACGTGGGCCACGCCTCCTTCTGCTCCCTCCTGTGTGACTTGGGGCACGTGAACTACTTCTCTGCGCCTTATGTCTCTCCTCTGTAAAATGAAGACAATCACCACACCACTCTCTTAGGATTACTATGAGAACCGAATGAGTTAACAGCTGAAAGCTCCTGGACCAGGACTGAACTTCGGGTGTGCTCAGTAGTAGCTATGCTTATTGTGATCTGCAGAGAAACTCTAAATGATCTCATTTATACCTCCCGGCGGTCCTGCCGGCAGCCATTGCTGTCATCTGTGACGGGCAGTCAGGTTTCAGGCAGGAAAACCAAAAACATTCTAGGTATTTCCAACAGAGGGATTTAACATGGGGTATTTGTTACACAGGAGAAGCTGAGCAGGGAGTGGCAAGGAAGGTCAAGTCCCCCAAGAGTGGCTGTCACAGTTGATGTGCCTGGGATCTACTGAGGAGGGTCCTGTGAGGACAGGGGTGGATGGGGAGGGTCTCAGAAGCCCCATGAGGTGGCCCTTGTGAAGGGGCAGGGCGAGAAGGAGGACGGGAAGAAGAATGTGTGGTTGCAGCACAGCTCTAAGAAAGTTTGGCCTGGCACGGGGGCCGGGCATGGAGGCTCATACCTGTAATCCCTTTGGGGTAAGCACCCTGGGGGGCCAAGGTGGGTGGATCACCTGAGGTTAGGAGGTCAAGACCAGCCTGGTCAACATGGTGAAACCCCGTCTCTACTAAAAATACAAAAATTAGCTGGGCATGGCTGTAATTCCAGCTACTCGGGAGGTTGAGGCAGGAGAATTGCTTGAACCCAGAGGCAGATGCTGCAGTGAGCCGAGATTGCACCACTGCACCCTAGCGTGGGTAATAGAGCAAGACTCTATCTCAAAAAAAAAAAAGAAAGAAAAGAGAGAGAGAAAGAGTTTCATTGGGGCAGTGGGGTCCTCTTTGGAGCTCTTCTCCCTGTCCTCCATCCTGCCATGTCACTCGGTGACATTGTCCCTGTCTGCTTCTCTGCTACAGCATCCAGCCCCCGGGGAGGGCAGTGAGGTGATCCGCTTTGTTCCTTGTGGCACCTGCAGTCCCAGAATGCCTGCCCCCATCACAGAACCAGCACAGAGCAGACCCCACAGTGTGCAGCATGACTGAGAACGCTTCTCCCCTGGCTTGCAGTGTGGGGACTCAGGGCTGGGCGGGCCAGTGAGGTGGACTTGCTCTCAGATGTGGAGTCCTGGGTTTGGGTTCTGGCTCTGTCCCTTGTCAGGACCTGTCCCTTTCCAAGCTCCCGAGCCCCCGTTTGTAGAATGATGATGGTGCAATTGCCTCCAGGCTGCTGAGGATGGGAATCCCACCTGCAAGTCCCAACCGTGCCTGTGACGTCCTGTCCGCCCGTCCTGTCCACCCGTCCCAGGCACGCACCTGTCCACCCGTCCCAGAGGCGCACCTGGGTGACAGGGCCTGCGATGGAGTTTCTGGGATTCACCAGGTTCTTGAAACCCTGGGCAGCTATGACCTTCTGTGTGGGCGGCAGGGCCTGGCTTGCAAAGTTTTCTTCAGATTCACAAAGGCAGAGAACACACCCAGCGAGATGCCTCTACTCGCCACCCAAGACCCAGACACTCCTCCTCCCATGGGAGTTTCCTGCCCTGCCGGCTGCCTCCTACCTTCTCCTTTCTTCTTTCTTTCTTTGACTTACTTTGCGGGGGGAAAAAAAAACCTTGAAGGAAGGAAGGCCAGTGGAGGCTGCTCTACAAATGAGGCCTCGCTGCCCTGGCCCCCTGCCAAACGCTGTGCCCTGGGCTGCCAGGACGTACCCCTGCAGCCTGGCCCTGGCAGTCAGAGCGTCTCATCTCTGCCTGCCTCACACTCCAGCCCCCTGCTCAGATGTGTCTAATGAGGGGTCTCTGGGGCACGCGGTTGGAGCCACTCTCTCCTTCCCCCGACTCCACACGCACGCTTAGCTAAATCCAAAGGGAGCAAGTGGGGGGCCACTTGCTCACTCTCTCCAGGGCGCCGCCACAGCCTGGTATGAGGGTGCCAGGAGGATGCCACCGCCTTACTGTTCTCCTGCCCCAGGCAACAGGCAGACAGGGCAGGAATCTTTGCTCAGTGTGTGGTCTGGTGACACACTTCCTTCCGTCCCTCAGGCTGGCCAGCGTCTTTGACCACCTGAAATTGTCCCTCTGCCAGCAGCAACTCCCCCAAGCCCCAGAGTGGTAGACGGCGACGGGTAAGGGCTGCTGTGCGTTCTGTTCCTGCGTGTTGGCTCTTCACTTGCTTATTTTGTCATCTCCTGGGGCTGATGAGTTGCAGCAGGAACCAGAGGAAGAAGTGAGGAAGCACACCTCCACAGGCACACTCACACATATACACACACAGACGCGCACACACCCTCAAACACACGCGCATAGACTCACATATATGTGCACACACGTGAGCACACCTCCACAGGCACACTCACACATATACACACACAGACGCGCACACACCCTCAAACACACACACACTCACATATATGTACACACACGTGAGCACACCTCCACAGGCACGCTCACACATATACACACACAGATGCACACACCCTCAAACACACACACACTCACATATATGTACACACACGTGAGCACACCTCCACAGGCACACTCACACATATACACACACAGACACGCACACACCCTCAAACACACACACACTCACATATATGTACACACACGTGAGCACACCTCCACAGGCACACTCACACATATACACACACAGACACGCACACACCCTCAAACACACACACACTCACATATATGTACACACACGTGAGCACACCTCCACATGCACACTCACACATATACACACACAGACGCGCACACACCCTCAAACACACACACACTCACATATATGTACACACACGTGAGCACACCTCCACAGGCACGCTCACACATATACACACACAGATGCACACACACCCTTAAACACATACACCTACACTCACATATATGTACACACACGTGAGCACACCTCCACATGCACACTCACACATATACACACACAGACGCGCACACACCCTCAAACACACACACACTCACATATATGTACACACACGTGAGCACACCTCCACAGGCACGCTCACACATATACACACACAGATGCGCACACACCCTTAAACACATACACCTACACTCACATATATGTATACACACGTGAGCACACCTCCACATGCACACTCACACATATACACACACAGACGCGCACACACCCTCAAACACACACACACTCACATATATGTACACACACGTGAGCACACCTCCACAGGCACACTCACACATATACACACACAGATGCACACACACCCTTAAACACATACACCTACACTCACATATATGTATACACATGTGAGCACACCTCCACATGCACACTCACACATATGCACACACCCTCAAGCACACACACATACACTCAAATATATGTATACACATGTGAGCACACCTCCACATGCACACTCACACACATGTACACACAGGGCTGCACAGATGCTATAACTTAGGCACACACCTGAAATATGGAGAGGCTCTGGCTAAACATGATGGCTTAGAAGAGCGTGAGCCCTCCCTGCAGCTTGGGTACACACAGAACAGGAGCCCCGCTGTCCTTCAGGCACGGAGCAGGAGCCCCGCTGTCCTTCACTCATGGAGCAGGAGCCCCACTGTCCTCCACACACGGAGCGGGAGCCCCGCTGTCCTCCACTCACGGAGCGCGAACCCCGCTGTCCTTCTTAGCAGCCCTTCAGGTTTCTAATTTTTGGGTGAAGGTTCAACCTTAGGCCTTTGGTGTGGGAAGCCCTTACCCCTTCAGTGGCACGTGGAGTCAGTCAGGCCACAGAGGTGAGATGACGACGGCTATGTGCCATCAGCCGCCTCCTCTCCGCCTAATGCCAAGACCTCTGCAGCCCTGGGGATGCCATTGTGATTTCCTGGGTGGACAGGGCCACCCCAAAACCTCTATCTTTCCCTGAAAATGGCTGCTGCCACACTGCAGCTTCTCGCCCACTCTGCAACGTCAGTTCCCAAGCTCTAGGGGGATGCAGCTCCCGAAGAAATGTGTCTGACGTGGGGGCGGGCTTCTAGAAGGGCCTTGGCCTGAGGGAGGCTCCTCTGTCTCCCAGCTCCTTCCTGGCACTCACAGATGGCCCCAGTTATGAAGGAACCCTGAGTGCACAGGCTGTTTGGACTCCCTGCCTCGGGGGACACGGGGCCCCTGGGAGGTGAAGCCTCCACATTTATTCTCGCATTTACCGTCTGCAGAGAGCTGACAAGCAAGGCTCGCCATTAGGGAAGGAGGGAGCCTCTGGGGGCTGCATGCCCTGCATGAAGGTGGCATCTGGAGAGAGGGCACCAGCAGAGTGATGAGGCTTGGCTGGGAAGCCATCCCTCCCTCCAGTGCCCTGCAGGGCTGTCTTTGATGACCACTGGGCAAGTTGATCTCAGCCAGGGCCCCTCAGGACACCAGGTAGCACCTTCAGAGGAGGTGACAGAGCGTATGAAGGACCCTGGGTAGAAGTGGGGGCAGAGGTAGAGAGACCTGGGGCTGGGAACAGCATAAGGCAGCATGGGAGAGTGACCTGTGGCCAGCATGGACGCCAAGCAGGACTGAGCCCCTCTGCGTGTGGAGAGGACGTCACTGCCAGGCTGCCACGGTGAGGAGGGAGTCAGAGGTGAATGCGCCGCAGGCCCCTTTCTTCCTGCTCTTCCCTGGTGTCCTCCACTCAAGCCAGGCGTGTGGGCGTGGGACACCCACCTCACCAGGCAAAGCCAGGCAGGGCCAGGCATGTGGGCGTGGGACACCCACCTCACCAGGCAAAGCCAGGCAGGGCCAGGCATGTGGGCGTGGGACACCCACCTCACCAGGCAAAGCCAGAAGGCGGCTGCTATGCAGGAGCAGGTAAGGGGTATGGAGCTACAGC